CATCACACATAGGACTCGTATAACACACAATACTACATGTATACATCACACATAGGACTCGTATAGCACACAATACTACATGTATACATCACACATAGGACTCATATAGCACACAATACTACATGTATACATCACACATAGGACTCATATAGCACACAATATTACATGTATACATCACACATAGGACTCATATAGCACACAATACTACATGTATATATCACACATAGGACTCGTATAGCACACGATACTGACAATTTAAAGACTATAACTAACCTTGGTACATATGGATTCCATATACGTACAATCCTATCCATACCGCCAGTCACGATAATATTTTTATCTTTAGAGTAATCAAATGTCTTAACTCCTTTATACACTTTAAACACAGTCTGATCTGATTCCATACGTCTACGTGTCTGGATATAACTTGACTGGTTTAGTTTTATTCCTTTTCTTTCATTATTTCTTTCATTTAAAGATTCCTTTATTTCTTTGAGCTGAGAGTCAACATGTGTGCTTCCCATGGTACTTCCTGCAACCCGACAACAAAACAGACAATTGTTATAAGTGTAAGCCAATGAGGGATATTCATCCAATCAAAAACCTGGTTTTAAAGTATGCATTAATTATCTTGAATTATCCCCAGCATGGGTATATCCACATAGTTTCACTTGTTTACGATAAAACAAGTCTTTACACACAAAAATAAGTCAAAAACTATGTTTTTGATAAAACAAGTGAAGAAAAATTCTTGATACGTTGATAGTATTTATATTAATTTTAGGAGTGATAATAACTTACCTATGACTAAGGCAGTGTTTTCGTGATTAGAGCATGATATTATTGATCTGATTTCTTCAAAGTATCGTAATTCTAAAACCCAATCCTCATGTACTTTCCATCGGATAAACTTGGTCAATCCATTCATATTATGTGCAACTTTTTCTAAAGTTACGCTTGCAATCCCATCAGTTTTTGGCATCTTCTTCCAAGTCCTGCAATTACAAACAAACAAGTTATTGCACCCCAAAACAAGTTATTGCACCCACCCCCACAAAAGTTATTCTACCTAAAAACAAGTATTGCACCCACAAACAAGTTATTCCACCCATAAACAAGTTATTGTACCCACAAACAGGTTTTTGCACCCATAAACAAGTTATTGTACCCACAAACAAGTTGTTGCACCCATAAACAAGTTATTGTACCCACAAATAGGTTGTTGCATCCATAAACAAGTTATTGTACCCACAAACAGATTGTTGCACCCATAAACAAGTTATTGTACCCATAAACAAGTTATTGTACCCATAAACAAGTTATTGTACTCATAAAAAAGTTATTGTACCCACAGACAAGTTGTTGCACCCATAAACAAGTTATTGTACCCATAAACAAGTTATTGCACCCACAAACAAGTTATTCTACCCACAAACAGGTTGTTGCACCCACAAACAGGTTGTTACACCCATAAACAAGTTATTGTACCATTAAACAAGTTACTGCACCCACAAACAAGTTATTCTACCCACAAACAAGTTATTGTACCAATGAACAAATTATTGCACCCACAAACAGGTTGTTGTACCCATAAACAAGTTATTGTACACATAAACAAGTTATTGCACCCACAAACAGGTAGTTGCACCCATAAACAAGTTATTGTACCCATAAACAAGTTATGGCACCCACAAACAGGTTGTTACACCCATAAACAAGTTATTGTACCCATAAACAAGTTATTGCACCCACAAACAAGTTATTCTACCCATAAACAAGTTATTGCACCCACAAACAGGTAGTTGCACCCATAAACAAGTTATTGCTCCCACAAACAGGTTGTTACACCCATAAACAAGTTATTGCACCAACAAACAGGTTGTTACACCCATAAACAAGTTATTGCACCCACAAACAGGTTGTTACACCCATAAACAAGTTATTGCACCCACAAACAGGTTGTTACACCCATAAACAAGTTATTGTACCCACAAATAGGTTGTTGCACCCATAAACAAGTTATTGTACCATAAACAAGTTGTTGCACCCACAAACAGGTTGTTACACCCATAAACAAGTTATTGTATTCATAAACAAGTTATTGTATCCATAAACAAGTTATTGTACCCATAAACAAGTTATTGCACCCACAAACAGGTTGTTGCGCCCATACACAAGTTATTGTACCCACAAACAAGTTATTGCACCCACCCACACACACACAAGTTATTCTACCTAAAAACAAGTATTGCACCCACAAACAAGTTATTGCACCCATAAACAAGTTATTGCACCCACAAACAGGTAGTTGCACCCATAAACAAGTTATTGTACCCACAAACAGGTTTTTGCACCCATAAACAAGTTATTGTACCCACAAACAGGTTGTTGCACCCATAAACAAGTTATTGTACCCACAAATAGGTTGTTGCACCCATAAACAAGTTATTGTACCCACAAACAAGTTGTTGCACCCATAAACAAGTTATTGTACCCACAAATAGATTGTTGCACCCATAAACAAG